TGTGAATTATTATTATATATATATATAATTTTCATACAATTTGAATTAAAATTCCATAAATCAACTATTAATAATATCTATCTAAAATTAACTAAAAAAATTTCAATATTTTTTTTATGATTAAAAAATGTATAATAAAACAAAAATCAATTTGTGCAACATTGATTTAAAAAATATAAATGATTGTTGATATTTAAAATTAAATACATATAATAAATTGAGTATATTTAGAATTTTATTGTATGTCTACTATCTTCAATGCAATAAATTTTAATTGAAAAAATAAAAATTGCAAAAAAAATTATAGCATTGAATTATTTATGAATGAAAATTCCTTATTCAATTCATAATTTTTTAAAAATTTGGATTTATTATACATAACTAATAATATATATATAACGTATATATAATATAATTCTTGTTAAACTTGAACAATCATCTCTAGAAAAGTGCTGAAGAAGAATTTTTCGTTTCCCTAAATTATGAGTTTATATATATCTAATATTATAAATAATCTTATTTAATATTTATTATTTTTTTCTTTATAAACATAGTTATTATACTAAATTATTATTTTCTTTTTCTTTCTTTTTTTTTTTACTAAAGCAATAAAATGTTTTTGGTTACCTGTGAAATGGAAAATACAATATATTATATAATAAAGAGATTATTAAAATTTATAAATATATAATAAATAAATATTCAAATAAATAAAATAAAATAAAATGATAAAACAAAAAAATTAAATAAAATCAAATTTATAAATATAAATGAAACAATTAAAAATTAAATAATTTTTAAATATGAATGTTTATTATATAAAGAATGTAATAAGATAAATGCATTATGAAAAATAAATTAATCATTTAGATACGATACTTATTTTAGATATTTATTTTGTATTCGAATAATAATAATTTATTATTATTTGAATAACTAAGCTTCGAATAATCGAGGTTTGAATAATCGACATTTTATTATAGTTCATTATAATATATAACTTGCTTTATAATAAAACAATAATATTGTATTTATTGTATTTATTTATTGTATAAATTGTATTTATCTAGCTTCAAATTTTAAGTTAATATATAATAAATATTATTCAATGATTATACATTTATATAGTATACTTAGCTTTGAATTATTTTGAAAAGGATTTATGAAATCAGCCATTTCATTGACAACAAAATCTAACCTAATATGGACTTGATCCCATTATTAATCAGTAGTCTATGTTATAATTTACTCCAGATTGACAACAAATTCTATCGAAAAGCAATTTTACGAATTTTATTTATAGAATTAAAAAATCAAGTCTTATGTATCAAATCTTCTGTTCAATTTTCGTGGAAGTTTCCATCTGGCGTTTGCACAATCAGCCAACATTTTATGTGATCTGCAAGTTCGTAAGGATCACTGTGTTCGTCTCCACTCTCCATTCGATTGGAATATAGGATTTGGTGTCAACACGGCAAGGAAGTAGTCCGTGGCTTCGTGAATTAGTAATCAGGATGTGTGTCTGTAACTAACAAACACAATTTCGTGTGTATATCACATTTTCGTGTGTCAGCCATAGGTGACTATTGAGAGAGAAAAAGAGAGAGAAGAAATAAATTGATGGAAAGAGTGAAAAGAAGTGACATGGGAGAGAAAAAGAAAACGAAAAAGAAGGAAAAAGAGAAGAATATACAGAGAGAAGGGAGGAATCGATATGTGAAAGATGATGATGAAATGAAAAATTGAAAGAGAAAGTAAAAAGGAGAAACAGAGAAAGGATGTCGAAGAAGGCTAAAATAGAAATATATGAAAAAATGAACAGAGATAAGAAGAAATATAATGAATGTGTAAAAATCTTCGTACTTTCTACAAAAAAATTTTATTTACATAAGAATATGATTGAATTTTTATTTCAAAACAATTAGTATTTATTCATTTTTATAGTTTTATATTAAAAATTATTTTTTGCATTTTATTTATAGAATGCTATTAAATATAAAAATATTTCACTAATTTATGATTCGGCAAACAAAAATTTAATCAAATTTAATCATTTTAATATAAAAAATAATTAAAAAATAATTAAATAATAATAATAATAATAATAATAATAATTAAAAAATATATCAATCTATTGCGATATAAATGATTTATTTTAATAAAAATTTAATTTTAATAAAAAATGTATGTAAAATTATTATATCAAAAAAAAAGGTTCAAAGAATAATTTACAATTTTATTATCATATTTGACCATTAATCGAATTATATTTTTAATTAATCAAATTTTTTAATTTTATTTATATCATAAATAATTGTTTAATCATAAATAAATAGTTGTGCATAATTATAGATATTAATAATAATGAAGCAAAGAACAATGATAAATAAGAAAGAAATTTCAAAATTTGTATGCAAAGAGTATTATACAGTACATAGAAAGAAAGAAAAGTACTAAGAAAGTTAAAACTAGAGGAAGCTTAAAACAAAGGAAAAAGAAAGAAAGAGATGGCAAAAGCCAATATGCGTGAATCGTTCCGCAATATAAGGTTCACACTGGCATTCTTTTCTGTGTCATTTGCTCCACGAATATCATTCATTATTCATCGAATGTAAGTATTGTCCCGAATTAATTCACTGAAAATTCAAATTTATACAATAACATGTGATTTTGAAGATGGGAATACATTTTCATATCTATTATTTTTTCCGATTATTACTCTAATTATATAATTTTATGTAACTAATCAAAACTTTTTAAAAAAAAATTTAAATCTTTATTTGCTTGTATAAATCATTGCAATAATTTTTTTTTAAATATTTGCAAAAAATATTATATTAAACAATTTAACTTATCCATTCTTTTATAAAAGTACGCATTAAGAAATTTTTATAGAATAAAAAATTATAAATAAATAAGTAAAATAATAATTTCATATCGAAAGTTCATAATTTCAATAAAATTTTGTTTTATTAATAATAAATGAAAAATAAATCAAAAAAATATTTAATAATTAAATAATTAATTAATATTTAATAATAATTAATAATAATTTTAATGCAAAAAGAATTTAAAAAATATTTTCAAATTATTCGAAAACTTAATTTTTTCCCCATATCTATTATACCTCTCGATTGCTGCTTTAAATAAATATTAATTTTTGTATTAATTTGTATTGCATTTATTATTATTTGATTTTATATATACTGTAAATTATTATATCAAAACTTATAAACGGATATTTCGAAATTTTTTATTTTAACCGTTTATTTTTCTTTTTCAATATAAAATTTAATAATCAAAGAATTGCAAAACTAAAATATAATTATTAATTTAATTAAAGATTGTTTAATAGATAATTTATATAGATTTTTATATAAAAAAAAAATATTATATATTATATTATATATATTATATATTATATATTATTATATATTTAAATATTTATATTCATAAATATAATAAATATTATAAATATAATAAATATTTCGTTTTATAAATATAATCTATAATAAATATTTGGTCTCATAATTTGATTTTATTACGATTTTTTTTATCATTATTAATCAACTTTTTGTTAATTTATTATTTTGTTTTTCAAATTCACTTATTAAAAGTTTTGTTATGTATTTTAAATCGCTCTGTTACACTGGTTATTTTCTTGATGATCTAAATCAATTTAAATAAACATTTTGTATGAGAACAACAATGTTGTTTTACTGCTTATATATATTATATAGATATATATATGTAATCAAAAATATTATATATTAACAAAAATATTATTCAAAATATATTATTTATTCAAAAAATTATAATGATCTTGAAAAGTTTAATTTAAAATGATATGACTTTGAAAAAATTATTTTATTAAAAAAATTATCCAATTAATATTGTATGATATACAATGATATATGATGAAACAATATGCGCAAAAATCAATAATTTTAAAAAATAATTTTTTTAAAAATATAATTTATATATAATTTTAATATAATTATATATAATTTTTTTAAAAAAAAATAATTTTATTTTTGAATATTTTTATGTATATATTTTATGTATATATTTTTATGTATATATTTTTATGTACGCCATTAAAAATGACAAAATGTTTGAAATAAATATAAAGTTTCATAAGTTAGCAATATACTTATAATCACAAATTTCTGTTTTATTCAATATAATTAACTCTATAAAACAAATTTTCAAAATATTAAATACAAATGAATAGAGGTATATATAATTTTAATTTTTACAACAATTATATTTTTTTTGTATTTTTTTATATAAGATCCTTTGAATTACTTAAGATTCTTTAAAAATTATAACCAAACATTAAAACTGTTACTAAAAAGTTTTGAGTTTTACTAATTTTGTGTCATTAATCGTATTCAATAAAATTTTAAATACGATTTGTAAATAAAGAATTTTCTTTCTATTAAGACAAAAATTCCAACTTTTTATCTTTCTATTATGTTCTATCTTTATTTAATTATTTAATTAGAAATTATCTTTAATTTCTACAGATATTGCTCTTAAATAATTTAATACCTTATATAATTTAAAAATTATACTATTAAAATAAATATACATATGTATAATATATAATATTTGGATGCAATCAATATAAAAACTTGAGTTTTATCATATATCGTTGTTTGTCTTTTATTATTGTATACGCTTGACATATATTCTAAATATAATAAATCAAAATAATTATCAATATATATAATTATCATCAATTATAAAAAATATTACATATTTATAAATATATAATGTAGAATTAATATTAATTTTTTACAAATAAAATATTTTTTTAAAAATAAATATTACATAAATATAATACTTTATATCTTTATTTTCTATAATTTCCATTATATATATAGTTAGTAAACTTCAATTCTATTAAATAATTGAATATTTTCATAAAGTTAAATTTTTTGTTTTTAGAAATTATTGTATTAATGGCAAAATTAAAATAAAGAATTCATTTTGTTTAAAAAATATTTTGAAATTAAATAAAATATTATTTTTTTTAAAACTATTTTATTTTTTGACAGGTAGTTATATTTTTTCTATACTTGACACACTGCTAGTTAAACTTAACCTTTTTTAACAATTATCTTCTTTTTAGTAACTTGATATATTAGAAATAATGAAATCATTTTTTCAATTTTTGTATTTAAATGTTTTAAAAATTAATATATATTAATAATTTTTATTTGTAACATATTGTAAAAAAAATAATCAAAGTTTTTGAACATTTTGACATTTTTATTTAATCTTTATGATCCTTATAATCTTATATATTTATAGAATATATTATAATTATTAGATCCTTATATATATTAGATAATTATTTTCCTTTTATTAATTTTATGTAAAATGACATTCTTTATAATATATTCAGGTAATCATTTATTCAGGTATCATTTATATATCATGAAATATTAATAATTACATTTATATATTACAATAATTATTGATTTTCATGATATTTTAATATAAAAATTATTTTGTAGTATTACATATAATATTCATAATTATGATGGGATCATCATCTGCCACTCTTTCAAATAATAAGGAAAATATAGGCAAATATTTATCTGCTTCGTATAATAATTTTACAAAAGATCTTTATAAAGTGAGTAAATATTTTATATATATTTTATATTATAAATTCTTTGAGTTATCATTCTTTGATAAATTCTGTCAAAATTCTGTAAATTCTTTAAAAATTATTTTAAGAATAACATTTATAAATAATTATTTATATATTGTTTGTACAAATTGTTTATTTAAATAAAGTTCATTTAATATATATAAATAAAATTCATATATTTATATAATATATTGTATAAATTATATAAATTATTATATAAATTTTTATATTATATAAACATTATATAAATTTGTATTATAATTAATAAAAAAATTATGTTATATAAAATTTAATCATTATTATTTTAGGAATTGACTTCTACCAATGTAGGAAATATTGTTAATTCACCATTAATAATACATATGATATTGTCTCATCTTTCTCATGGTGCAGAATCTACTACTTTAGATGAATTAACTAAGAGTCTTTATCACTATAATAAAATTTTAATACAAGAGGGATATAAATCATTAATTATTAAATTAAATGTAAGATTATTAAAATTATGATAATAACAAAAAAAAATTTATTAATTTCACAATTAAATCTTCACAATTAATCTTCTATATTTATAAGGAATTGTCCTTGGTTAAATTGTATATTGCGAATGCAATGTATATTCAAGATGGATTTGAAATATTGACAGAATTTTTAACAGTAGGAAAAGATATTTATCAATCTGAGATTTCAAAAGTAGATTTCAAAAATAATGTAGAGGCATCTCAAAAAATCAATGCTTGGGTTAATGAAAAAACAAATAATAAAATATCTTATTTTATATCTTCAGGTAAATTACTTTAAATAATTATAACATATATATATAATAATATAATAATTATAATATCAATGTACTTATATAATCAATGTTTTTTTTATATAGATAATTTTAATGAGAATACAAAATTAATATTAATAAATGCAATATATTTTAATGGTACTTGGTTAAATACATTTAATGTAAGAGATACAAAAGATAGAATATTTCATGTATTAAAAAATCAAACAAAATTTATACCAACAATGTATAGTAAATCTAAATATACTCATGGTGAAATGCCAATTTTGCAAGCTAAATTTATTGAAATTCCATACAAGGTATTATATATATTAAATTGCTACATATATCAAAAATTAAAAGAAAAAAATACTTTACAGAATCCAGATGTTGTAATGATAATAATATTACCAAATCAAATAGATGGTCTTTTAAATTTGCAAACTAATTTTTCATTTGAAATGCTTGCAAATACAACTCGATCCAATAATGATATTGAATTATATCTTCCAAAATTTAAAATTGAGTTTACAGTGGATTTAAAAAATGTTTTGAATAAGGTATAAATAATAAATTTTATCTGCTATTTTTTTAAGAAAATTTTAATTTATTTATATTATAAATTTTAGCTTGGTTTAAGTACAATGTTTAAACCAAATGCAAATTTTAATCGTATTTCTAATACACCACTAATGGTTGATAAAGTTTTGCATAAAGCAATTATAGATATTAATGAAGAAGGTACTGAAGCTGCAGCTACAACAGGTGAATTTAATTTTAAAAAGAAATTAAAGTTTTATGTACATTTTTAATAAAATTAAGTTATTTTTTATTAGCTGTTTTTTTAAGACTTCGACGTTGTACATACCCGGAGGAAACAGAAAAATTTATAGTTGATCGACCCTTTATGTTTATAATTGAATATAAACCAAACAACATACCACTTTTTATTGGGAATGTACAGGATATAGAAGTTACTTCACAAAAAGATGAATTATAAATTCCTTTTATAACAAGGATTAATCAATAATTATTAAATTAAAACATATATCTTTGTTTTTAATATGTATATATATATGTATATATATATAAATTATTTTATATACGTATATTATATGCAATATTGTACATATATTATACATAATAAATATAAAATTTATTTTATAAAAATAGATCAATACAAAATTTAATTACAAATATAAAATGTACAATAAATCAAAAACAATACAATATAATAAATTATCAATACAATATAATAATCGTTTAGAAATATAATAATATAAATATAATTACAACAATTCATTTAGAAAAATTAATTTTTTAAATAAAACAATTTATTATCAGAAGTTATAATAATAGAATTATGAAATTAATAAATTATATAAAAAAATCTTCATTAAATAAATCCTTCAATATTTTATAATATTTCATTTAAAATATTTCTTAATCCTATTAATTAATTCATTTTTTTTTTTTTATTAAATATATTCTTTGTGTAAATATTGTGTTTTACTAAAATCAAAATAAAAAATAAATTCTATAATTTTTTTCTAGAATTTAAATTAAATAATGTAATAAAAAAAATTAAGTTAATATATTAACCAATTTAGATAAAATTTTATTTCTTCAAATATAATGTTTTTAAACCAGTTTTTAAATTAATATATATTTAATAATATACCTGATTCTTTATCTTTTTGAGTTCTTTAATCTTTTTTTCACTTTCTAATGTAGTTAGTTCTATTACTTCGTTTATTTTCTTACATTTTTTCTTTTTTTTTTTGGTATATTGTCTTCTGTTTCTTCATTAAATATTTTATCATATTCATCTAATAAATCTTTTACAAGTTTATGAATCTCTTCGGTTTTTGGAACTAAAAAAATTTATATATTAATATGTTATAAAATATTGTAATATTTATAGATTTATATATATTTTTATAAACTTACATGTATCATCAGGCAGTGATTTAAATTGTTCCAAATCTAGAGCTAAAGTTTCTACTATTTGAAGTTGTACTTGTAGTTTAGGATTTGAGAATAATTTCGGATTATATTCGATATTTAATTTTTTCATTATATTTTTTAGAAGTTCAACTGCATTTGGTTCAATTGGAGGTTTTCTTTCATTATGATTATATATAAATTCTGAGAAATATTCACTAAGATCTCGAACATTTTCTACAATTTAAAACCAAATTATAATATATTATATATTATTATAATTTAAAATTTCTTAAAAATAAATTTGTATGTGTTTTTCATGTATTTCAATATATTAAATTACATCAATAGATACTAATTATTAAAATATTTTAAATATTTAATGAAATTTATATTTTTATTTCAGTAATTTGATATTTCCAAATTTATTTTTTAATTTTAAATTATTTTTTTATCACTTTTTGAATTATTTTTTTATCATTGAATAAAAAATGTTTAAATTAATATTTTAAAAAAACAAACCTCTAAATGGCATTTTATATAAATAAAATCCACCATTATTTACATTTGGTATCATAGTATATAAACTTGAAGCAGAATAACTTCTTATTGTTACTGCACATATTATCATTAATTTCTTTGAATCACATTTATTGAGTAATGCACCAAATAATAATTTGTTATCTGCAATGAAAGATTATTTTAAATAATTTTATATATTTAAGAAATTCTATTTTAGTGAAAATATTTATAATCTTTTAAATTCAAATTTAACTTTTAAAATAAAATTACCTTTACGATTACTTTTGCTTGGTATAACAAAATATGGTGTTTCAACATGATATAAAAGATGATAAGAAATATGTTTTATACAAATTAAATCAATGCCTGGTTCTCGCATCGTACTTAAGGATCTTACTTCTGCTTGTGTAAAATATATTTTCTCCAAACCGAAATTTTGATATTTTCGAATATCCATTTCTAGAACGGATGATGATGTTCGCTTATTTTCTATGTCATCTATCTCTTCCTATAATGTAAACAAAAAAATTGCGGATTATTATGTTATATAAAATAAACAATGTATATAGAAATTATTGAAATACATACTGTCATTATATCATCTTTATCCACTTTAAAGTATGTACGTGTAGTTAAAGGAATATTAGTTTGTTTACTTATATTTTCTTTGTGTAAATATTGTGTTTTACTAAAATCAAAATAAAAAATAAATTCTATAATTTTTCTAGAATTTAAATTAAATAATGTAATAAAAAAAATTAAGTTAATATATTAACCAATTTAGATAAAATTTTATTTCTTACACAGAAAGATTACGAAGTGATACATCTATAGTCACATTTTCTCCAAGTCTCCAAGGTAGTTTTGCCATATTTCTGGAGGGCAACTTTACTTGTTCTACTAAATCTTTTAAAGATGTTCTTTTATAATCATCTGCTTCAATTTTTCCAGATAACATTTCTAAATCTTTATAAAACAAATCATGATTCCAATTTTCACCCAAACCAACAATAGATAATTGGATATCTATATCACTATAGCTTGTTGCTTTTACTCTTATTCTATGTTTTTCATTATCATCTATTATTGAAGGATTATCTTGACATGTAAAAAGAATTACTCTTTTCATTGGCATAGTAATATGTACAGCCGAGAATGCTCGTATTGCATGCCACAATACATCGTGTAATGGATAAGAAGTAGAGGAAGCATTATCTCTGTAATATTCCCATGTTTTTCCTTCATCTATGTATAAAATATAATAAAAGACAAAAAATGATTTAAAAAATTCTAAAACCAATAGAATGTAAATTATATTTATATTTAAATTAAATTTTAAAAATTTTAAATTATATTTTTCTTGTAAAATTTTAATTTTTTCTTATATAATATTATTAGAGATAGCTTTCCTCTGCATTTAATATATAATTCTTACTTTTGTAACAAAAATTACTTTGAAATTATTTTAATTTTCTTATTCTTATTTATAATAAGATGTACAATATATACAATATATATATATATATATATATATATATATATATATGTATAATATATATCAAAAGATTACCTATTTTCATTACATCTTTTAAATCATCCTTTGAGATAAGATTTAATTTCTTAAGAATTAATATATTTTTTGTTTCAGAATCTGAATCATACTTTTCAGTTCCAAACAAAATTAAACCCATCCAATCTTGTCTATTCCATACTAATTTTTGCTTAAGAATTTCTTTGTATTGCTAAATTAAAAAAGAAATTAAAATTAATTTTTAAATTTTTACTTTAAAAAACTTTAAAAATAAATATTTAACTTTAAATTAATATTTAAATAACATTATTCAAAAGTATTATTATTATAAAATAATTAAAAATAATAAACTGTGATACCTTTATGCATTGTAAAAAATATGGAATTCCATTTTGTGGATCATTTTTGAACATTGGAGGTGTTGCATCAATTAAAAAAAGTATACCATCTCTGACACCATAAAGATCTTTAGAGTCATCTTCATAATCTTCATTTTCTAAATCTTCTTCATTGAAAGATGCCATTATATCTTTGTTTTCACTGTTATTATAAACTTTTCTAATATTTTCTAAAAATTATTCATTTTATTTTATATTATTTTTTTATTTTCATATAAAATTTATAATAAAATTTACTATGATATAATTTTAGTTATTTTGTTATTATATAATGTTTTAATTATATGCTAAAATATTATTATTATAAATCATGCATATACTTTAAAAATTATTTTCTTTAATAAACTATTATTTCAATTGATATTATTCAATTCAAATAAAAAATGTATCACAGGAAATTTTTTGGAATTATAGATTTTTGCTTTGTAAAAGAAAATATTATTATTTTAATTTTTTATATTTATATACTTTTTTTTTGTTTAATTACAGAGGTTGTTTATGATTTATTATAATAATATATTTTTTTTATATTAAAGTAATTAATTTATTGTTATCAATGGTTTCTTAACTCCGTTAAATTGTCGAATATAATCACGGATAAGATATAAAGTAGATATATCAATCAATGCATTTTTTGGTTTACAATTTAATTCTTAAATCTCATTATCATTTCAGTCTTATTTTCAGTATTATCGATTTATATAAAATAAAATTAAAAAGAAATAATGAGTAAAGATTTTCAAATATCGTCAAAAAAAGAATAAAATGTAAATAAATAAATAAGATAATATTAATTATAACAAATATAACAAAGTATACATTTTTTATTCGCAAATTTCAGTTTATATTTATATTATATCTATAATTATATAATTATATTTGAAATAAAATATAATAATATTATATTTAATTAATATCTAATTTAATAGAATTTTATATTTTATGTATTCAAATATCAATTGCGCAAAAAAATCATATTGATACATCTTTTATGATTTAAAATTCGTTATTTTCATATTTTTTATTATAATATAATGAAAATAATATCAATTTATAAGATTTTTATTATAAAGATGAATTTAAATATAATAGTATTAAAGTTAAATTTATTTATACATATTGCTATTGTACATCAATGATACATCAATGAGTAAAGATCTCTGATATATGATGCAAATGTAATTTTTAATATGAATAGATTAAACATTAGAATAAATTCTAAAAAAATAATATATAATATTATAATAATAAATGTAAACATATATGGTAGATCTAAAATTTTTTTTTAATAAAATTATCACTTATTTTTAATCTCAAAACATTGACCTTTTTTTTTTTAATAAAATCGAATATTTTATTATCGAATATAATTTTTAATGCATATTGAAAGTAACGATTATATTTATATTTTTGTTATATAAAATGTTTTTTTTTATTTATATGTAGCAATAAAAATTTCCGAATCATAATAATAAAATAAGTTGCGTGCAAATTTTTTATTAAAAGAAAATAATTATAATTAAAATTTTTTTGAATTATGTATTAGAAATTCTTTTTAAAAATTTTAGTTATTTTTAAAATTAAAAATAAATATCTAAATATAAAATTATATATAACATATATATAATATATAAGATAATTCATAACAGATGAATTAACATATCTACACCTAATCTGTCACTTTAATATTCTATATTATAGAGAAAATATAA